GTCCAACAGATCGCTTGAACATTTTTCAAAACTAAAATAATTGAAATAATATTTGTTATAATATCATCACATTCCTTGCAAATTAGTTCTCTTGCTGAATGCACTGGTGATCCGGGCATCCAAAATCTCAATTTTTTTTCATTTTCGGGAGGGTGGTATAAATAAAAAACAGTGCGCAACAGTGAGCTGGAGCAATCATGCGTTTGCTCACTTCTGCCCAATAGAGTTGGGAAACAGCTTCCCGCCGTTTTAATTCAAATCTAGAATTTGATGACACACAATCCACAAGCATTTGCAAACAAAATATTACAGTTATGAGCTAATTTAAGCTATTTCTCAGAAATTTGAAAAAGAAAGATAAAAAATGCTTTTTCTGATGGTCAAGAGTAGTCTTATCATAGAAATTAAAATGAACAATTTACTTCATGTCTGTCAGCAACGTCTTCGACAGTGAATATGCCCATCTGCCAATAGCAACAGAAAAAAGATTGGTGCCACAGAGGACAAGATATCTGTCATGCTGCGTAGGATCTAAAGTGTAGCATATCAAAATGAAAAGCACTGGCTCCCCACTGCCACTTTCAACCCTCAGTATCAAGCCATTATTATTTCTTGACTAATCCAATCTCATCCTTTCAATTGTCCATTTTTTCAATCCACCTCTCCACAGTGAATCGCAGAGAGAACAAATAGGAGATCAAGTAACAAGGTTGGAAAATAAGGAAACTAAACCGCCAACTATGCAAACAAGGAACCAATTGAACACCTCTAATACACGCGTACAATGTGGTGACCTCAGAATCAATGAAGACAGAAAAGTTGTCAAAAGGAGACTCCGATCACAAAAAAGAACAAAACGGCGAAATTTATGGGTTCCCCAAAGTACCAAAGTAACTGTCCAAATGAGTCCATACATTGATTCACAAAGGTGAAGACAAACCAATCTGCAGGCAGTATGGGACTGAAGCCGATGGTTTGCAAGGTAATATCAAGTGGTCGTAAGGAATAAGATCAAAATCCAGGCGTCCA